CTCACCACACCCACCCGTTCTGCACACGTCCAATCAACCCCAAATGCAGCTAAGCGGCTGAGGCTCTCAAGCCAGCCAGCCCTCCCATCGCCTACCCCCAGCTGCAAGGGAGAGGGGGGAAGTACACGTGCCTTCCTATGATAAGCAGAGCTCACAGGGGGAGGAAGGGGGGGCTCCATGAGTGCAGAGTCCCTATCCCCTCTCAGTCACCACTCCAAACCCCCTGCCTGCCTCCCCTCTCCCTGGTAAACAAGCCCCGTGTGCCTCATACAACCAATTCTTCCCAGGCTTGAATCTGACCAGTCAATCATGTGGCATCCCTTCCCGCGGTCAGAAAACCACTCCCCAGCGTCCCGACTGCTCGCTGAGCGCTCACCCCTTTGATCTCAGCGCAGCAGCTGTTCCCTGCCGGACAGCCAGCTCCTCCCCACGCTCCGCATTCTCCTGCCGCCTCCCCGTCGGTCAGGAGGTGGGGGAAAGATACCAGCAGTACCTGCCCTTCCACTCCGAGCCCCTCATATAAGGGGCAGGTTAGGAGTGAAGCTTACTACATGTCACCCACCCACCCATTCTTCCATGTACCACTCCCCAACATGCCACTGCCCCCACACCTGCTCCCAGCGCCTTTCCACCCCCTCACCTACCAGAGGAGTCTTCTGAGGGCACCAGTGATCTCTCCCATCTCAGCAGGAGACTAGCTGGCGCACTTTTGGACAGGCAGCAGGGATCTTAGCAATCCTCTTCCCCTGAAGAGCTGAGTGCTTTAGAGGGGTGGGGAAGCAGGTAGTTGCCCTCAGTGGTATTCCCTAGGGTTGAAAGGAGAGGAAGAGGCTAACAACCCACCCCTGCAGAGGTCAGAAGGGGTGTGTAGGGGGGAATACTATCAGTCCTTTTCTTACAGAAAACTCCCATGGTAAGAGGGAGCAAGCTGGGTGCGTGGTGGTCAGGTGTTACGGGAAGGCAGCTACAGCAGCACAGAGAGGGATTGGTGTGGGGTGAGCCGTGCTAGTATCTTCACTAGTGAATGGTAAGAATGGCTAGAGAGGGGGTAGGGAGCTGCAGAGCCCGTAGGAATTAGCCGCACCCTAGTGGCTCTCTGCCCAAAGGGCTGAGCTTTGGTAGTGCTCCCAGTCCTTTGTTTACACAGCTAAACGGTATGGAGAACTAGTGGCCAATCTGAAGGGAATTTCCCTGCAGACCATAAAAGAGTCTGAAAACCCAGAGTCTATGTAGAAGATCAGTGCAGTTAGCAGGTCTGAGCTTCTAAGGTTGTTGTCTTTCCATTGTAAGCTCTACATAATGCTGCTTCCATTGCTTATCCATCCTTGTTCTGCATTGCTAGTCTGGTCCACCTGATTGACAGCTATGCCCCCCTCCCCTCCTGAGATCAGCTGCAAAGCCACTTCCTTCTCCATTCAGATCCTTCCTGAAGATCCACCTCTGGTGTTATGTCTATAGAAACTAGTTGATGGCTAATGGAGAGTTTGAGTCATTAACATTTATATATTTAGCCACCTTGTCTGTATACATTGTATTTCTTCCTTTGTCAATTTTTTTTTTTTTTTAAACACAGTAAGAGCTCTTCAGGGCTGGGACTATTCCTTTCTTTTGTTTGGAAAATAATTAGCACACTGGGGGGCAGTTACTGGAAAGAAATAATTCTGAGAGGTATATCAGAGCAGGGATTGGTAGCAGCGTTTCTAGCTAGTTACAAAACACTTTCCATGCTAAGCATTGGTTTTCAAATGCTTGTAATTCTCCAAGAAGATCTAACTCTTACCCTTAAGCCTTTCTATGCTTGATCTCTTGCTGAAGATGAATTTTCCAGCAAGGCCTGAGCCAAATCCCTTTAGCCACTTGACTTAAAGGAGAGGGCAGGGAAAAAACAAACACTTTTCCTACTAAAGAAAAATTCAATCTTTTGTGACAACAGAAACAGGTGAAAGTTGAAACATGGCATGACCTAGTCCTAAACAAAGACTTATAAAGCAGGGTCATGGTAGACTTATCCAACAACTGCAGCAGTTTGCACAGATGCATGCATAAGGAGACCAAAGCCCTGAGGTAAGTGGGGAAATGGGATCCTGGGAGGAAGCACAAGCAGGAGAGCGCAAGGGGGAGGACTCCTGTCTCATACTGAGAAAGAGGGACGATCAATGAGTTATCTTAAGTGCCTATACACAAATGCAAGAAGCCTGGGAAACAAGCAGGGAGAACTGGAAGTCCTGGCACAGTCAGGGAACTATGATGCGATTGGAATAACAGAGACTTGGTGGGATAACTCACATGACTGGAGTACTATCATGGATGGATATAAACTGTTCAGGAAGGACAGGCACGGCAGAAAAGGTGAGGGAGTTGCATTGTATGTAAGAGAGGAATATGACTGCTCAGAGCTCCGGTATGAAACTGCAGAAAAACCTGAGAGTCTCTGGATAAAGTTGAGAAGTGTGAGCAACAAGGGTGATGTCGTGGTCGGAGTCTGCTATAGTCCACCAGACCAGGGGGATGAGGTGGACAAGGCTTTCTTCTGGCAACTAGCAGAAGTTGCTAGATCACAGGCCCTGGTTCTCATGGGAGACTTTAATCACCCTGATATCTGCTGGGAGAGCAATACAGCGGTGCACAGACAGTCCAGGAAGTTTTTGGGAAGTGTAGGGGATAATTTCCTGGTGCAAGTGCTGGAGGAACCAACTAGGGGCATAGCTTTTCTTGACCTGCTGCTCACAAACAGGGAAGAATTAGTAGGGGAAGCAAAAGTGGATGGGAACCTGGGAGGCAGTGACCATGAGATGGTCGAGTTCAGGATCCTGACACAAGGACGAAAGGAGAGCAGCAGAATACGGACCCTGGACTTCAGAAAAGCCGACTTTGACTCCCTCAGGGAACAGATGGGCAGGATCCCCTGGGAGAATAACATGAAGGGCAAAGGGGTCCAGGAGAGATGGCTGTATTTTAAAGAATCCTTATTGCGGTTGCAGGAACAAGCCATCCCGATGTGTAGAAAGAATAGTAAATATGGCAGGCGACCAGCTTGGCTAAACAGTGAAATCCTTGCTGATCTTAAACGCAAAAAAGAAGCTTACAAGAAGTGGAAGATTGGACAAATGACCAGGGAGGAGTATAAAAATATTGCTCAGGCATGCAGGAGTGAAATCAGGAAGGCCAAATCACACTTGGAGTTGCAGTTAGCAAGAGATGTTAAGAGTAACAAGAAGGATTTCTTCAGGTATGTTAGCAACAAGAAGAAAGTCAAGGAAAGTGTGGGCCCCTTACTGAATGAGGGAGGCAACCTAGTGACTGAGGATGTGGAAAAAGCTAATGTACTCAATGATTTTTTTGCCTCTGTCTTCACAAACAAGGTCAGCTCCCAGACTGCTGCACTGGGCAGCACAATATGGGGAGAAGGTGACAGCCCTCTGTGGAGAAAGAAGTGGTTCGGGACTATTTAGAAAAACTGGACGTGCACAAGTCCATGGGGCCGGATGCACTGCATCCGAGGGTGCTAAAGGAGTTGGCGGATGAGATTGCAGAGCCATTAGCCATTATTTTTGAAAACTCATGGCGATCTTGGGGAGGTCCCAAGGCTAATGTAGTGCCCATCTTTAAAAAAGGGAAGAAGAAGGATCCGGGGAACTACAGGCCAGTCAGCCTCACCTCAGTCCCTGGAAAAATCATGGAGCAGGTCCTCAAGGAATCAATTATGAAACACTTAGAGGAGAGGAAAGTGATCAGGAACAGTCAGCATGGATTCACCAAGGGGAAGTCGTGCCTGACTAACCTGATTGCCTTCTATGATGAGATAACTGGCTCTGTGGATGAGGGGAAAGCAGTGGATGTGTTATTCCTTGACTTTAGCAAAGCTTTTGATATGGTCTCCCACAGTATTCTTGCTGCCAAGTTAAAGAAGTATGGGCTGGATGAATGGACTGTAAGGTGGATAGAAAGCTGGCTAGATCGTCGGGCTCAACGGGTAGTGATCAATGGCTCCATGTCTAGTTGGCAGCCAGTTTCAAGCGGAGTGCCCCAAGGGTTGGTCCTGGGGCCGGTTTTGTTTAATATCTTTATTAATGATCTGGAGGATGGTGTGGACTGCACTCTCAGCAAGTTTGCCGATGACACTAAACTAGGAGGCGTGGTAGATACACTAGAGGGTAGGGATCGGATACAGAAGGACCTAGACAAATTAGAGGATTGGGCCAAAAGAAACCTGATGAGGTTCAACAAGGACAAGTGCAGAGTTCTGCACCTAGGACGGAAGAATCCCATGCACAGCTACAGACTAGGGACCGAATGGCTAGGTAGCAGTTCTGCAGAAAAGGACCTAGGGGTCACAGTGGACGAGAAGCTGGATATGAGTAAACAGTGTGCTCTTGTTGCCAAGAAGGCTAACGGCATTTTGGGCTGTATAAGTAGGGGCATTGCCAGCAGATCGAGGGACGTGATCGTTCCCCTTTATTCAACATTGGTGAGGCCTCATCTGGAGTACTGTGTCCAGTTTTGGGCCCCACACTACAAGAAGGATGTGGAAAAATTGGAAAGAGTCCAGCGGAGGGCAACAAAAATGATCAGGGGTCTGGAGTGCATGACTTATGAGGAGAGGCTGAGGGAACTGGGATTGTTTAGTCTCCAGAAGAGAAGAATGAGGGGGGATTTGATAGCAGCCTTCAACTACCTGAAGTTGTTTGGATGAAGTTGTCCATCCAAAGAGGATGGAACTTGGCTGTTCTCAATGGTGGCAGATGACAGAACAAGGAGCAATCGTCTCAAGTTGCAGTGGGGGAGGTCTAGGTTGGATATTAGGAAACACTATTTCACTAGGAGGGTGGTGAAGCACTGGAATGCGTTACCTAGGGAGGTGGTGGAGTCTCCTTCCTTGGAGGTTTTTAAGGCCCGGCTTGACAAAGCCCTGGCTGGGATGATTTAGTTGGGAATTGGTCCTGCTTTGAGCAGGGGGTTGGACTAGATGACCTCCTGAGGTCCCTTCCAATATTCTATGATTCTATGATAACAAAATGAAACATCCAATAAAGCTTCTGTCAAGTGAGCCAGCCATATTCAATATTTATAGGAGCTAAGAACTTTCCCAGACTGCAGACCCCTTGTTGCTGCTTTAATTTCTGAGTTGGAAGGTGGAATTTCTGTTCCTGGTATCTGATTAGTGGAGGGTGTGCTGTTTGTTTGTTGTTGTTTTTAACACAGAAGGCCATGATTTAGAAAACCATTTATCATTTTGTCAAGATTACACATTTGTAGAATATGTAACAAGATTTCTAAGGAACAGATGTTTCACTTTTTATTAAAAATAGATATGACAAAAATACACATTCCAGTAAACAAGACTTCTCCAGTTGTCATGTGGAAGCAATAAGATGCTAACATGAAAAACTTCCTATATACATAGATCCTTTCAATGGCTAATTAATTGTCTGATATTTTTGTAAGCACATCTCAGATAATTCTTTTTAAGAAACTTTCCTATAGGCAGAACTTTTAAGGTGGGCAATCATCATTTGCTCCAACAGCCATTTGAAGCCAATAGTCCAGGTTCCTAAAAACAACAAAATTGTACAAGTTCTCTCCTCCCTTTTGGAAACCATGTTCACTTTCTCTCCAGGAAACAGGGCTGTCTGCAAAGCCATGCACAGTTAAGGTCACCCACTGTGCCAATTTTGGTTCATCAAAATAGCAACTGGAAAAGAAAAATACATTAACTGCTAATTAGAACGGAACAATAAGTTATGTTGAAGTACACCAGAATGGAATTAGAGACCTAACTACTTAACTGAAATGTATAACTAAAGGAGTTAAAAATCACTTTTTACTGAAATGTGGGACGCACAGTAGTGTAATGAGAAATTCCAACTGCTGTCACGTCATTTTAGAAGGTACATACGGAGAGCACAAAGGGTTGTAGTTTTCCTGCTGAGGCACTAGCATTCCTTCAGACCCTTAATACTGCCTTAAATTAAAATATTTATGAGACTGCTCAGTTTAAATATTTTAATATTAACTGTTTATGTAAAACTGAACGAAAAACAAAAGAAATGGGACCAAATGGCATTTCACAATGAAGAACTTCACCCCTGAAGATTTATATTGTATTATGTACTTTGACACATATAACTGAGCTGTACTTTACTTAGAAATACTTGTTGTTTTTAATAAAACCAGCTTTTCTGAGCCGCCTCTGGCAGCTACCATCTTGCAGGGAATTGGCATTATTTGTGACTGGGATAATAGAACAATCCAATGTCAGAGTGGAAGACATATGGAAAGAAAATCTGGTGAACGGACTCTTTTTGTGGATTAGTACTTCAGCCACCAGAAGGGAACCAGACTACAAATCAGAAACTGATATTAATAAAGGCCAGGCATTGTCCAGTGGTCTTAAGACTGGGAGCCAGAACATCTGTGTTTTAATCAAAGCTCAGTGTGACTTGCTTTAGGAGTTGAAAATTTGGCTGTGACTTGTCCAATATGACATACAGTGGGCCTGATTTTCAAAAATGCTGAGCTCCCACAGCTGCCATAACTTCAGCGAGAGCTGTGGCTGCTTAACACTAAAAAAAACAACAACAACAAGACTAGAATATCTCAAAGTTGGGTCCCCCAAAGCTGGGGTATTCAAAATCAGTTGTCACTGTTGATAATTGTGGCCTTAACCTCTTTGCTTCAGTTTCCCTATATGTAAATTGGGGAGGATATCCTTTACTCACCTCTTTGGGGTGCTGAAGATTAGTCTTTGGAAAACACTTTGAAGGGGAAAAGTATTAAAATTGTAAATATGTTATAATAATGTACCTCTGATCGCTCTTACCATAGCTGTTCCAATAACTGAATTATCTTCTCTGGGACTATAAAGCCAGTGATTGTGCACAAATAGGCTTGCTCCACTACTGTGCTGGGCTGAGGACAGCAATAGGTTGATAAGAAGCTAAATGACTTGTTGTCTCTGAAAACAGAAATAATCTGGATGAGGTACACTGTAAATTTTCTACACCAACGCTACCATTTTCAGAGTTGTGCATCAACCATGAAGCACCTAAATACATATTTAGGCCTCTAAATAAATGTTCTGCTTTTCGGAAGTGCTGAGCACCTGTGAAAAATCAAGTCACTTATTTAAGGTACCTAAAGACTGAAGTGCCTACTGTCAGGCATCAAAGGCAGAAAATTATGGCTTATGTTTTTTAAAAAATATTTAAGATCAAGGCAAGTTCAGATACTTACAAACCAACTTTGTTGCAAACGGCACCTAGCCATTCAAACAGTTCCTGTGCACTGCATGACTCTTCCAGCTTTCCTTGCAGTTCATTACTATGGAACACTGGACACTGCAAATTTCTTAATGTGCTGAATGTTGTTTTTGGCTGATGGGCTTGTATTTGGTTTTTGGAAAAGTATGACATCAGTGTTGATCCTTCTGCACCTAACAACACAGACCACAAAAAGTTGTTATAAAACTGCAACAACAAAGGAACACCGAGTATCAAACTAAACTGAAACCTTTACATGCATCTGTAAAGAAAAGATGTGTGAGATGCTCTATATGATGAATTGAAATTAAAACTGCTTACATGCTATTTATCTACCTAAGCCAGAGCCCTAGCTCCTCTTTTCTTGGAAATGAAGTACAGTTTCAGATCCAGCAAGCTCAGAAATCCTATTGAGCCATATTTGTATAGTTCAATTTATCATTAGCAACAGTTAAGGCAAAATAAAAATTAAATTCATGTATTACAGAACATCTTCAAGGATGAGTGTTTGTTTAATGTTTCCAAATAAATAGCCATAGGAAAGGAAAAATTATGCTTTTCCACTTGTTCTTTCTCTATAAGAATGCAAATGGAAAATCTGATCATCCCACTGAAACGTTAACCAGATTTGGAGGCTTAGATGACAGTTTATTACAAATAGAACATCATCACCTGAATATAGTTTATCACTAACATTATGTTTTGAGTCTGTCCTCTTTTCTCCCACACCATCTCTTCAAGATATATTAACCAACTCAAAAGCAAGATATCCAATTAGTAAAAAGCAATTTTTATAGTGTCCCTGCCTACACTTTGAGATCATTGGATGAAAGGAGAAAAACAATACTAAGTCTCCTTCTGAAAAAGACAGTGGCAGGCTGTTCCTGAAGAGATGTTCTATATAGGCCACCAACAAGAGAGCTTGTACTCTGCATGTCAGAAGAACAGCATAGAGCTGCTTGAAAAACGGTCACTTTTCCCCATGGAAAATTTCAATTTTTCAGCAAAAATTCAAAACATAAAACATTTATGTGGAAAAACAAACTTTTTTGACTTGGAAATACTGCTGTAGTGCCTTGTGCTCCTTTATAGGCCAGGCTTCCTGGTTGATGTTGGACAACTCCTATAATGTACCACAGTTTCCCCTTTTGGAGAGGGGAGGCAGTGGCTCATGACAGACGAAGCCAGGCCAAGGAGCCTGGCCTATAGAGGAAAACGGGGACATGAGGCAAACAAATTACAACTCCCATGAGGCACCACTGCAGCACTTCCAAATCAAAATGTTTTGTTTTTTTGATGAAGGGAAAAAAAAAAAAAACCTGTCAAAAAATAGTTTCAATGGAAATTTTTTAACCAGCCTTACAAAAGCCCAATAACAGGACATACAATGGTTGTACGTTAATTTCAAAATCAAACAGCAATTGCAGTTTTCTTCCTGATCAATTTTACTTCATGTCACTGCACCTTTGAGGTGCCATCAACAAGAGATTGTTCTTTAAGTAACAAAATGCCACTATATTACAAGTTTACAACCCAAATAAGAATGATATCTAATTATTGGTGTATGCATTGTTGTTGTAGCCGTGTTGGTCCCAGGATATTAGAGAGACGAGTTGGGTGAGGTAATATCTTTTACTGGACCAATTTCTGTTGGTGAGACAGACAAGCTTTCTAGCTTACAGAACTCTTCACACAGCCCAGACCTGAGGAAGAGCTCTTCGTAAGCTCGAAAGCTTGTCTCTTTCACCAGCAGAAGTTGGTCCAATAAAAGATATTATCTCACCCATCCAATTTTATGTCATCCATAGTTAATATTTGAATATTCTTCTAATATTTACAGTTCATTCTTATTACCTGTGTTATACCAGGACAGCAGGAAATCAAATTCTAAAGGTTTCTTCTCTTTCAAGGCCCAAAGCACTCTTTTATGTTTCTTACTATCAGGATCAAAGGCCGAGTCAGTCAAGTCAATGGCAACAACTGTAAAAGATGAAAGGGCAAATTTTACTCAACAGAGCTCAGCTTTAATATTCAGATTCTATAAGAATTATCAGAGTACTAGAAGACATTGTCAACTACTTTTTATGGAGACACTTTGTTTTTCCTTTTAAGTTAACCCTCCACGCCTTGTAGCACTCTCTCAAAATCTTAGTCATATAGCTGTTGCTCTCCATTTTGCAAATGAAGATTTTTCTCTCTTTATTCTGATGTAGAAGACGTTACAACTGCTGCATTTTGTTAACTTCTCTGCTTGTGTCTCAGCTTCACTGTGCAGAAATCAAGGGAAAGTTGTGGGATTTTGTTTGTTTGGTGGTTTTTTTGTTTGTTTGTTTGTTTTTAAGTTAACTGCTTTCTAAAAACCAGCAATGAGCAGCTCACTTTTGTGAGGGAAATGAGAAAAGGGGGGCTGTCATGCCAAAACAGTGGCTTTAAAAAAAAAAAAAAAAATACTGGCAACAGACCATTGGCATTTAAGAAAAAATGCTATAGCTTACAGTACCAGGAAAAGCCATACTTATGGCTTCAGCACTGTTTCCATTATGAGCCTGTTTTCCCACACCCATTGGTCCCAGTTCAAAGATGAATTTAAAAAAAAAACTGAAGAAATTTTATTGAGCCATTTTTAAGTTTGATGAATTAGCATTATGTCCTATTTTGCTACCAGTTGTTTTTATTCAGATAACTTAAAGCCAACAGAACTCTGAAAGTTCATCTTTGCTTGTAATTAGCTTTCAATATATACGGCCCTTATAGGTTTGGGGGGGGGGAGGATATGAACTAAGAGAGTTAGTGATTTGTAAAAAATCAGTCATAAGCATGTCCACAGGATATCTGCTAAGAACTGCAAATTTTCTTTACAGTGTGCAAGGCATGGAGGCTACTGAAAGAACAATTTGGTTGAGAAAGATTTTAAGTGTCTCAAACACACAGAACAAAATCCTCTCTCTCTCTCAACAAAAGGGGTCTCTCAAATTTAGTTTTTTCTTTGCAGTTTCTGCAGCATTCTGCAAGGTGTAAGCTTTCATTTAAAAAAAGATTAAGGTTTTTTGTTTTTCTGCTGTGAAGATACAGAGATTGCATACAATATATAAAATGCAAAAATGCTCACATCCTACATTATTGCAATAAAAGGGATATATAATTAAAAATCAAGAAATGCAGAAATTAAGTTCTTACAATATCAACAAAATATTAAATGTATATGTTCTATTTGTGCTTTTCTTGTTACTTGTGTAGTTTACATATTTCTCTCAATACGTGTATAGTGTGTGTACACAGGGAGAAAACATCCCAGAGATTAACCAAATTTAGAGGAATCAAAGTTTAAACTGAGATAGTTTGGTGTCCTATTAAGACACTTTATAAATGGATATTACTATTAGAATAGGTGCTGTTAGTGTAAACAATACTTACTATATCTCATGACTTTTTTACCAGAATACTGAGATGGACGACCTTGTAGTCCAAGCTCCTCATATGTGTCCTTGTCTACTGATATAATTAGTTTTCCTATGAACAGAAAGGATTTTTGTTAGTACCAGTTATCTCTTCCATAGCTCCCTTTAAAGTCTTTGAGAGTCTCATGCTGCATAAAGTTAAACCTGGATCACTAGGTGTTAGTAATGTAATCCAGGCTCCTTCAGTTTCAGTTAAATGGATCACAAAGAGTAACCCTGGAAAATCTTAACAGTAGATTATTGTTGGTTGTCAAAATATGTCTTATGAATTAGCACGAGTGAACCCTAAATAACATAATTCCTGAGTTGTGCAATTACCCTATGTAACTTTGCCATGTTACTTCTGTCACCCATATCTTCCCTCCTCCCAGCTATTCCCTAGTGTTTGTTATATTCATTTGTTGAATCTTGTGTTGAGTTAGGCCCTGATTCTGCAAACAATCGCATATGCTTGAAGCTACGGCTGTGCTTTAAACTTATTGACTTCAATGGGCCTACTCAGGTGAGTAAAGCTAAGCACATACTTAAGTGTCTGAAGGTTTGCGGCTTAGATTGAAAACACTTTGGTGCATTCACGGCGACATCTTTTGCCACTACAGCATTTAGCACAATGGAGCCCTTGATCCTGACTGGGGTCTTTGGACACTACCACAAAATAATAATATTGAGTGTCAAAAAGGACTGAACTGTGATATCACCCAGTGCCTAAATCATGGACTCCAGAATGGCTGTGAATATTATTTTGAAAGATTTACACATTGCTAGCACCCAGAGACCACAATCAGGATCAGATTTCCATTGGGTTAGTGGCTGTATATACATACAAAAGATGATATCCCTGCCGCAAAGAGCTTACATGAAGAATTTCAGTTTACTTGTGCTCTGCCGAACACTTGCTTTTTGGGCGGGGGGGGGGGGGGGGGGGGGTAACTGGCTTATGACAATTAGCAAATGAGACCAAAAATAAAAGGATATGAAAAGATTTACATTTTTACTGTAATTGCTGTAATATGTATTGTGTAATATGTTGAAATCTCAAGATGTTTGGAAAACAGTGAATCAAAACAAAGCTCTCCATTACTCTCATGTGTGAAATTCTTAATTATACTTTGAGAGAAGTATTAGTCAGTACTTTTAAGTACTAAATATTTCATCATAGTATTTTGAGAAATATACTAAAACCACCTGACCCATATTTTTTAAGGGGGCAGCGTCAACTTAAAATGGTTTCGATTTTAGGGTTTGTAAGAAGCAGCCTTCAATAAAGTTTCAGACCAACAGAAATGCTTGTTTTTTAATTCCAATGAAAACAGTTTTTACACAAACATTCCTCTACAACATTAGCAACCCAAGGTTTGCAGCACTGACCATTTGAAATAAGTAAAAGTGAAACTGACTTAATTGAGTTTACTTTCCATGATGTAAGAAATGAAATAAATTGTGAGCATGAACAACAAAGAGTAACTTTCATTTTTTTAATATTTCATTTTAATAATTACTAGTAAACATAGGTAAAGAAATGTACTCATGATTTTTCCAGTTGACAGTACCCCTTTCAAAAACCCAAGTAAAAACAAAACCATCAAAGGCATTAGTCAATGTCTATGTATAATGAATAGTATGAATTCATACCAGTTGGTAGTAGAGCAGCAGCATTATCTTGATCAATTTTTGTGTTGTATGTAAGAGCATAGCATGAACCTTTAACACAAAGGAACAGTACAATCTGAGGTTATACAGTTCGCAAAAGATATACTGGCAATATTTAAGTTAGACTCATCTCAAGATAAATAAATCAGTCAGTTGCTGTTTAGATCCTGCTTGATTTCTGCACTTCAACTAACTAGCCTTCTCCCACTATGGTACTTTCATGTTGCCTCTACAAATTTGACAGTGACATTTTCAGGGTTTTATAACCCAGATGAAATTCATTCCAGGCCCAAAATTGAAACACTTTATTTCACCCTGGAAGTGATTCTTTTCACCAAATTAGAAAAAAAATTGGTCCAACCATTTTTCAGATATTGGGTCACATTGAAAAATAGAGAGGACGCTGTTGTAATTGTGGACATTTTTTTTCAGTCATATCCCACAACCACCTTCATCTTCTAAAATCAAGAGCCCAGTCCTGTAATCTTGGCACATGAGTGGTCCCATTGCTTGAATAGAAACTGTTGGCACAAGTACTATTCAAGAGAATAAGAGCAGTAAGAAAGAGGGTCCTAAATTTAGCAAGTAATTAATCCTTAATGGAGGGACAACTACTTTCCCTTTAAAACAGCTCATTTGAAAAAATCCTTTGCTCCACGATTGAGTCCTCAGTGATAGGGAACATTTTGGCATCAACAAAGTGGTGGATGTCCCTGGATGTCTGCCATCAACATGCCTTTTCTTCAGAGTGTTAAATATCAAAGGCAGAAGACACGTTGTTCCATCTTTAATGTTCAAGATGGAAGAAGGACCAGAGGGAGAAACCATTTCTATGTGCAGATTTACATGCCCTCTTTAGAACTTGCAGATTTTATTCATAATTACTATCTCTATAATGACATTTAACGAAAGACCCAGAACTTCGCAAGATGATTACAAACTATATGGAGAAGAATCACGTCACTAATCTCTGAAATGCAGTTACCTCTAGGCTGGAAGATAGCTGCGATTAAACAGCAACACATCACTACAGTTCAGGACAAAGCAAAGCATAAATCATACCCAATTGAAAGTGCAAGGAGAATTCAGGAATTCAGGTAGGCAGACTGTAATTACTCAAATGGAACTGAGCTAGAGCACCAGGGCTAACCTTCCTTCATTCCATTTCTGTAAAGAATGCCACAGGCCTTACCCATGTTCACCTATTGAGATCACAAACCTTAATAAGACTTTTGATTTTAACATCTTGCTTCTCCCTTTCACCCATGTACAAACACATTTCAATGCTTGCTGTACCTTAGTGCAATGGTTTTCAAACTTTTTTTCTGGGGACCCAGTTGAAGAAAATTGTTGATGCCTGCAACCCAGGGCAGGGGGTTGGGGCGCCGAAAGGGGTCAGGGCTCAGGGCTGGGGGTGCAGGCTCTGGGGTAGGGCTGGGGATGAGGGGTTTGGGGTGCAGGAAGGGGCTCTGGGTGTGTGTGGGGGGGGGAGCCTCAGGGCTGGGGCAGGGGATTGGGGCGCGGACTTATCTCCGGCAGCTCCCAGTCAGCAGCGTAGCTGGGGTGCAGAGGCAGGCATCCCACCTGTCCTGGCACCGCGGACTGCACTGTGCCCTGGAAGCGGCCACCAACAGGTCTGGCTCCTAGGCAGAGGCGCGCAAGCGGCTTCGCACGATTCTTGCCCGCAGGCACCTATTCCCCCCCCCCCCCCCCCCCCATTGGCGGGTTTCTGGCCAATGGGAGTACAGAGCCAGTGCTCGGGGTTGGGGCAGCATGCAGAGCCCCATGGCCCCCCTTCCTAGAAGATGAACCCGCTGCTGGCCGCTTCTGGGGTGCAGTGCGGTGTCGAAAAAGGTAGGCACTAGCCTGCCTTAGCTGGGCAGCACCACCACCAACAGGACTTTTAATGTCTCCATCGGCGGTGCTGACCAGAGCAAGGCGACCCAGTGCCTTACATGCCGTGACCCAGTACTGGGTCGCGACCCACGGTTTGAAAAACACTACCATAGTGTATGTCTACACTACAAAAAAAGGTGTGTTCTTAACTTGGATTAGTTACCCTGTGGTAGCTAACTTGTGTTAAAATATCAGTGAAGATACAGCAACTTGGCTTTTAAATTGGGTTAGCAGTTAGGCTCCTCTTCCTATAGATTTTAATTTGAGCTGCTAACCTGAGTAAAAGCCAAGATGCTGTGTCTTCACTGCTATTTTCACACAAATTAGCTATCGCAGTTGGCTAATCCAAGTTAAGAACACTTTTTTTTGCACTGTAGACACACCCTAAATAACTGTTACCTCAAGCCCTCTAGAGCTAGAATCCAAAAAATATCATTCTGAAATCTTGGAATTATTGCTTTCAAATGTTTAACGCTTTACTCTCTAGCTAGTGGCTTATGAGATCATTCCTGTTAAGAATTATGTGGGGAAAGCTGTTGTAAAGGTAAACGCTGTCAGGAGCAGTGTACATTTTCAGGCATTTGTCCAAGAACTCTAACGAGGAAGAGAATAAACTGATCTGAGTGTACTACAGTATTCTCTTTGTTTAGTTCTCCCACCCTTAAAAAAATAAGGAAATTCAATTTTAAAAAAAAACACAGTGACCTTGCTCTCTCCCCACATTTTCTGTCCATCCTCCACCATTTCTTCTACCACTAACCTTTCTCCTCTGCACTATAACAGGTATAATAAGCCCATTTACCAGAGAGAAGAGAAGAGTGATGCAGACTTCTCTATTTGTTTGTCTCTTCCAAATGCCAAGAATGTCACAGTACAAAAAACTCATAGAAAAAAACAACAACAACCTGATGTTATCACAAGCACTTTTTACTATTCCAGGAAGCACTGGCAAGACATTCGGTTTCATTCATATTCACTGTATGTATTTTTAGCTCCCCCTTACCTTTCTTCACGAATGTATTGATAAATTCATGCGTAACCAATTCATGAAGGGATAAATTCTTCACCAAATAATACTCTCCAATGTCTGTGATAATACTTTTCAGTGCTTCTGGAAGAATTCCACATTCAGGGATCAAAAATGACACCTATTCAGACCATATTTGTAATGCAAATTAGATCTTACATATAAACATAGATAATCGAAATTACAAAACTGGGCTGAAGAAAAGAAATAAGCAAACAAAAATTCAGCCCCTCAAAGAGGTTAGCACATAAAATTAAAGAGTTAAAGGTATCTGAAGATGGGTGAGTGCCCCAAATACCAAGAGGTGAATTCAGCACATAACTAATTTTAAGATAGCCCCACCCCAGATGCCCTTGAGTTTCACAATTACTAAACTTTATTGTTAGGACTCAGTTCTCTATTTTGCATAGCTCATACACAGTACAGTGCCATTTAAAGCACTACAGAAAGGGATATTATTGCACAGCATGGTTTTGCAAAGGGTATGGTTTTAAGACAAAATAAAGGTTTTGAATGCTTTTTACCTTTGCTATTTGGGGCATTTACCACATAATGGGCATAATGGGTTAAATGGGTTAAATCTGTCCTTAGTTATGCCCATGCACAAATGGAAATCAGGGTAGGATTTGGTCCATTTTTAAAACGAATACATTCCATGGTGCAAGACACAGATTTACCCCCCACACACACATTAAGCCTGCTTGATCCATAAAAACTCAGATGAGATCAGGTACATTTAATGTAGCTTGGCTATTCTCCCAAATTCAAGCAGATTAGGGCCTAATGTGTTTCTTATGAGAATGAACGAGGCAAGCTCTCAATGCTACACAAGACAATCAAAGGAGGAGGTGCTGCTGCTGTCTTCCTTGTGACCAGTGGTTAGAGCACTCACCCAGGATGAGGGAGACCCAGGTTCAAAATTCCCTCCTCTACCAGGATTTAAACAGGGGTCTCCCACTTCTCAGGTAAGTGCTCTACCCACTGAGCTATGGGATAATCTGATACAGCGCTCCCTCAATCTCTCATGCTGAAGCTGTTTCACTGCAGCTAAATAATTAAAGAGAGTCAATGGAGCAGGGGGACTGGACGCTGGGTCTTCCACCTCCTGGATGAGTGCTCTAACCACTGGCCTAAAAGTTATAACCAAACACTAGATTTTGAATAGCCTCTGAGCACACCTACTGGATCAAGCTCCACCAGCAAGTTAGGCAGGTGAACACCTATCTTCCCCCATTCATAAGTTGCTCTGCAGGAGACAGGATTCCAGATAGTTAGAGCAAGGCAGCAGTGCACAGGCCCAGAGGCAGAAACGTAAGTAGCTATGGAATTTTTACCCTGAAAATTTAGGTGCTGAGTGAGTTTAGGCGCCTACAAGGTTCAGCTGGAGTTTTGTGAATTGCATTAGAACCTAAAACTGGGCCTTAGGTGCCAAAGTCTGATATTTAGGTGTCTACATACCTTTGTGCATCTAGTCCTCAGCTACTAAGGTGATGAACATAGTATAAGAACCCATACTGAATAGAATACAGGGGAGCTGGGAATAGGCTGAGTCTGACATGGCAGCATTGAGCTGCCCTTCGGAAGAGAGTGAGATAGACCTTAACACAAAAGTAGTGCTTTGGAAAAGGGAGGGGGTGAGACTCGGGAGAAGTGTATTGCTGAGAATGTCTGACGCTGAGCCCCAGTTAAAATGTTTTATCCATTAATTTTCTAATCAGGGTGTGATGCTTCTGTTGGGGTACCCAGAACTATAAGCCCTGTGTTACCCCCTCTCAGACCCAGCAAGCGAGAGCTTTACTGCTGCTAAGTAATGTGTCAGAGGCCTGGCACACCAGCTTTTCTTCTTCACCAGCAAACGCTACAGGATTCTGCCAGTCCAAAACTTGCTTTGCATGTAACAACCAGTGAACCCCAATTCCCAAGTTCCACGGAGACATCTCTTTGCCATATCCAGTCCCTCTCATTGGACACTCCCAGAAATTATTAAGTTTGCTGCCTCCAAAAAAGACCACATGCATATCAGCCTGTTAGGTTAGCTGAAGATTCACTCTCCAATTTAATACACAGTACTGACATGGTTTTGTAATAAAAGAAGAAGTAGATTGTTAACAAAGAACAAATTTAAGTGATAATAAATAAGAATAAAAAAACCAGGTATGGTTACAAGTGAAACAAAACAAAACAAAATATGCTTTCTTGTGGCAAACAATTTCAGCAAGTTCCCTTTTCTAAGCAGGTTTCTCACCTATAGTCAGTTTCCAGCTACTCTTGCCTTCTAGGCCAAGAGAGCTTTCATAGGCTCAGAGGACACTGAACCCTAAGTTCCCTCAGTGACAGATGACTCAAATCTCTCTTTGTCCCCCTTATATTACCCCAAAGTTCATTGTCTCTGTTTCAAGAGCCAGGAGGGTACAGACTCCATCCCCCATCGTGATCATTAAGTGATCATCTCCCCACTTGCTAGTTTGATGGCTTTGTTTACCTTATATGTACATATACTTTTCATTGTCCACTGTGATCAAGCTGGCCAGACAAGTAAAAACACATTCCTTTGTCTAGGGCAGGCTGGGCTTTATGTGCTGCCTGCCAAACAAACATATTTTCAGCACACATTTCTAACTCTTTGTACACACCCCGTACATATATCATGCAATGATTTTCAGGACCAGCATGTTAACAGTTTGCATATGATACTTTACACAACACCATTTAGATACAGATTATGACCACAGTATGTTGGGGCAATGAGAGTGTCAGGCCTGATGTGACTTGTGGTATGTTGTGCTCTCTGCTAGTTGGCACTGAGGTTCGCACAGGGGTCTGTGGTGACAAGGGAGGGGACAGAATGGATTTGGGTTTTTCAGCAACATTCAGATGGTTTAACTGCAGTTACTAAACTTTGCCAGAAAGGCAAGTGACCATTTAATTTTGCAGCCAAACCAGAGAGGGCTTAGTAAACTCAACTACAATTTGCTTACTTGCTGCTGCAAAATGCAACTCAATTTGATTCTAAGGGTATGTCTACACTACGAGGTTAATTCGATTTTACTTAAATCGAATATGTGGAATCGATATTGCAAAGTCGAACGTGTGTGTCCACACTAAGGACACACTAAGGACAGTAATTCGACTTTGTGAGTCCACACTAACGGGGCGAGCGTCGATATTGGAAGCGGTGCACTGTGGGCAGCTATCCCACAGTTCCCGCAGTCCCCGCTGCCCATCGGAATTCTGGGTCGAGCCGCCAATGCCTTCTGGGTAAAAAAAATTTGTCGTCATCCGTCCGTCACTAACGCCCTCCCTCCCTCCATGAAAGCGCCGGCGGGAAATCAGTTCGCGCACTTTTCTGGTCAGTGACAGCGCGGACGCCACAGCACTGCGATCATGGATCACGCTGCGACCATCGCTGCACTTGTGGCCGTTCTCAACACCTCGCAGCTTATCATACACCTTTCCCTGAGGCAGATGCAGAGAAATCGGGCGAGGAGGCTACGGCACCGCCGTGAGAGCCTGAAGTCGGAGAGTGGCACAGAGCTGTCAGAAACCACGAGCCCCAGCGCCCAGGACATGACGTTGGCAATGGGGCATGTGGATTTTGTTGAACGGCGATTCTGGGCCCGGGAAACAAGCACGGACTGGTGGGACCGTATAGTGCTTCAGGTCTGGGATGAATCCCAGTGGCTGCGAAACTTTCGCATGCGGAAGGGGACTTTCCTCGAACTTTGTGAGTTGCTGTCCCCTGCCCTGAAGCGCAAGGACACCCGCATGCGAGCAGCCCTCACTGTCCAGAAGCGAGTGGCCATAGCCCTCTGGAAGCTTGCAACGCCGGACAGCTACCGGTCAGTCGCGAACCACTTTGGTGTGGGCAAATCTACCGTGGGGGTTGTTGTCATGCAAGTAGCCAAGGCAATCGTCAAGGTACTGCTCCCAAAGGTAGTGACCCTGGGAAACGCGCAGGTCATCATAGATGGCTTTGCCGCGATGGGATTCCCAAACTGCGGTGGGGCTATCGATGGGACTCACATCCCTATCCTGGGACCGGACCACCAGGCCAGCCAGTACATCAATAGAAAGGGCTACTTTTCAATGGTGCTGCAAGCACTGGTGGACCATCGGGGACGGTTTACAAACATCTACGTCGGATGGCCGGGCAAGGTTCATGACGCTCGCGTGTTCAGGAACTCTGGTCTGTTTAGACGGCTGCAGGAAGGTATTTACTTCCCAGACCACAAAATAACTCTTGGGGATGTGGAGATGCCTACAGTCATCCTCGGGGACCCAGCCTACCCGCTAATGCCCTGGCTCATGAAGCCCTATACTGGCGCCCTGGACACAGAAAAAGAACTGTTCAACTACCGTCTCAGCAAGTGCAGAATGGTGGTGGAGTGTGCTTTTGGCCGTCTCAAAGGGAGATGGAGAAGCTTACTCACTCGCTGTGATCTCAGTGAAACCAATATCCCCATCGTTATTGCAGCTTGCTGTGTGCTCCACAATCTGTGTGAGAGCAAGGGGGAGACCTTTATGGCGGGGTGGGAGCTAGAGGCAAATAGCCTGGCTGCTGATTACGTCCAGCCAGACAGCCGGGCCATTAGAAGATCCCAGCGGGACGCCCTGTGCATCCGGGAGGCTTTGAAAGCTAGGTTCCTGAGTGAGCAGGGCAACCAGTGACTTTTCAGTTTGTGGACAGAAAAGCTGAATCTGCCCCCGTTTCTTTACCCAGTTCATTTTGACTATCCTCTCCAGTTACATACCCCCTTCACCCCCTTCCCCTTCCCAAAAAATAAAATCATTTCGATTTTGTTAATGAACACCGTTGTCTGTATTGCTGTTTTCGCGGGAATATTTTAAACCGGGGACGCAGACTGTGGCGGGGGGCGGGTTCAGTGTTCGGATGCAAATGATGCCTCTAAACTCCCGGAATGACAGGCTCCGCACTGGTGGACTGGTTATTTCAATGGAGCCTGCCAGCACTCCTGGGGGGGACTGTGTGTATGTGTCGGCTATGTGACTTTCTGGCAGGGGGGGTAGGGTTACATATCCCCTGCTGCGTGGATCTGTGAGCCAGGATAAGGACCGCTGCATAAGATCTGTAACTGCCCTCCCCCGCC